TTTCAGTGTTTTTAAAACTTACTGTTCACTCAATGTGAGCCATTTTGGTGGCACTTTAAAATAATAATAACAAAAAAACATATGCATATATTTGCATGCCATTAATTAATTTGTAAACCTTTGTTAATCTTTTAGAGTGTTCATTATGCAATAATTAAGTGAGTAGGACACAAAACTGACCAGTTTCTTGCATTTCAGACCAGATTACTACCACCTAATCTAATTAAATAAAGTATTTTTGAATTGAAACTAAATATTTAAATTCAACTAAAAGCATGATAAGAATTTGCAAAAAAAAAAAAAAAATTTAAGCATGCATAATATGTTGAAAGCATAATATCCAGTTGTGAATAAGTTATAAAGTGTTCAAAGATGAATTAATAACATTTCTACAAACTATTTATTAACCATCTATAAGGGTTATGGTAAAGTGGTGCAGCCATGATCTCTCTTGATGTCGAGTTTTATTCTAGATCACTGCTTGTCACTCTGCTATAGATATTAGAGATTTATTGTTTTGTTATAAATGAACAGGCTAAGTTCTTCTTTTGCTATCTGAGGTGACTATGTGGCAATGAGAGGAATTATTTTCCAATCGGAAGGCTGTGGGTTTGATTCCAGCTTCCTCCCTCCTCATCTTGTTCCTACAGTGCCTAAGTGTGAATGGCTGCTTAACATTATGATCTATATAACTATTATGATCTCAATATAACTATAGCAGCGATTTACTACAGCATAAACCTCAGATAGAGCTGAGACATCATGCAATCTTCTTTTTTTTTTAGTTAATCTTTTTTTTTAAAAAGCTCTTCGAGTTTATAAAAAAGCCCCCTACTTGTAGAAAACTAATCTCTCACTTTGTTAATCTTTTCAGTTCATCTCCTTCTACTAATCATATAAAAGAGGCCTGGGCTTCTGACATACTAGTCGAAATTTCAGATGAGATGTGGAATTTTAGTCTGTCAAGGATCAAAACATGTTCCATTAATTCCAGATTGCAACTTATTCAATTCAAGGTTATCCATCGTTTGCATTTTTCTAAAACCAAACTTAA